ATAAATTTGCATACTCAATTTAAAATCTTTAAAAATTTAATTTTTTTTGTCAATTTTTTTAAATTTTAACTATGCAACCACTTATAAAATTTTAAAAATTTTGAAAAAATGTAATATGTGATGGACATAGCTAGATCGACTCTGCTATTGATGCTGATCAAGAATATATATGATTTATAGGGTCGGAAATGACTCTTTGTACTAGAAATATATAAAATAAAATTGGAAATTAACCTTTCATCCATTAAATGTTTTTAATAGTTTTCTTCCTATACTTCCTATCCCACATCACTCCCAATTCGAATTAACCTTGAAAAACTCCCAAAATTTCGTGTAAGCTGAATTTAAACTTGAATGCAAAGCGCAAATATAGTTATAAAAGGATATAGGACTCTAAAATGCCCCCCTGCTAGGTCTATTTCAGTAGTGAAGTGGTTCCCCCGTGCTGAGAAAATAATAAATTGGCTGCCTCTTTCAGCGCATAGTACCTGCAATTTTATTAGGCAAAATAAAAGGGGAACGATGGGGAGCCACGTTTGTGGTAGAAACAATTATATTAATTAATTCGTACAGCGAGCAAGCAAACAGAAATGTCGGAGGGATGCGGCGAATAAAAATGACGCCAGATTAATATCGCTGTCAACGGATCTGGGCGGGAACGGGTTTAATTGAATATTTTATTTTTATTCTGGCAGGCGGCACTCAACCCAGCTCAACCCCGTCTCAGCTCGTCTCGCTTCGCTTTGGATGTAATTTTGCATTAAGTGCTTATCCCGCTGGAATATAAATGACGTCATTTAAATGTATACGGCAAGCATAAAATGCTCACGAAAAAGAACTGTTAAATTGGGTGAAATAATTGCGCACAATTATTTAAAAAAAACTACAACGGGCGACAGGAGCAACAGCAACGACAGCAAATAAAATTAAATTAAGTAGCAAGCAAGCGGATTGCGTTGCATTAACGAAACAATTAAGAAGTTTTCGGCTGCTTTCGAGACTAATGAAGCCTTAGACACGGGTACTCCAAGGATATTGTTGAGAAATACATGCAATTAATATGTGCGGTGCAGAGATTATTTATGTCTGGCTCGTATTCCCCTAATGAGGCAGAAAAAAACGCAAAGGAAAATTTCTTAAAATGTAAAAAAGGGTTATGGCAGCGCAAGACATCAAATTCCATTCATTAAAATGTTTGCTAGTTTCATTTACATAATTGAAAATTTGTGCCACACAAATATTAATAAACGTAAACAATTAAAATAGCTTGATGTCGGCAAAAAGAGGGGAGTCAGAAAGCGACTTTGATTTGGGTATTTAATGAGCACGAAGTAGCACTACTTGGCCACAAAAACCCGTCTCACACAGACACACACACACACACACACACACACACACACACACACACACACAGGCACACGCATGTTGTGGTTTTCCGCCAGGATCCTTTACGCCGAGAAGCGTTTTTGGCCAAAACCGAGAAACCCTAATCACGCCGTTTGCGCTCGATACGTGACCAGCCTGGCCATGGTTGAATTATGCAAAAAGCCATCAGACGACGACAGAAGATTGAGGCTGGCGAAAATATGCGGCTGGAATGGAAATGGTACAACTTAGTGACGCAAATAATTAATTACGCAGCGCATGAAGCAAGTTGAGGTGCAAGTTCAAGACCAAAAATACGTTGTTTCCGCAAATACACCTTTTTTGCACACCTGATTGAAGCCACGAATTAATTGAGAAATTATTTGGAAAATTGTATCCTTAACCAATTCGAAGTTGCTAATTAATCAGCATTGTAAAGCATCTTCGGATAGTGTTTGGAATTATAAATTAAGCAATTGTATTGCCAGCATTTGTTATGAATATTATTCTTTCGAAATTTGTAAACCAAAAACAAATAAGTATTTCCATTGGGAAAAATGTTTAATATTACTATTATATTATTCTATCAATACACAATTGCATACTATTAGTTACACAGGTTAGTTTAGCTTGTTTCACTTTGAAATTAATTTCGTTTTAGAGAAACTTATTGTTTTTGAATATTTATATATTTTTTTATCCTTCTGTTTCCTTAAACTTTTACCAACATAAAGCTTGATTAATTTATTCTTTTTTGGATCTTAAAATTCCATATAGTTTTCCACCTGGTGATGCTTTTCTTTCACAGTAAATCGCTGCTAATGTCACCCACGCACATGTTACTCATAGATACATATTTATATTGTAAGTGTATATACAAAATCTTTGGCGTAATTGTGTGCGTGCAGCAATTAAAGCGGCTTTGCCGTAGAGCCCTCTTTTCGGGTCGTATATAATTAGCTGTTTGCCAGAGCTCCATCATCTGTCCGCTGCTTGCGGCCCGGCTGAAATTGCTTCATTAGGCTTTCGGATCCGAAAGCCCGGCCAAAGAGCTCCTAGGCCCAGAACTTTGATTGGTCGGCGCGGGGCAGTGACACCCGCTGACAGCTCCTGGCGGTTATATATACACACACACACACACGGAATTATAGAAAAGTCCTTGCGGACTAAGCCTTTTGCTGTGGTGGAAGTGAAATTTTGTGGAGAAGGATTAGTTTCCATAGCAGGACGTTTTATGGGGTGCACAAAATGTACAAATGGTTTTTGGTTTTTGCGTGCAGTAAACTTTATCCGCAGGAAAGTACAACAATCTTATTAATTGTTGTTCCGTATGTGATGTATGTCTTGATTTAATTTAATAGAAGCTGATTTTTTTGGTAGTACTTTACAGGTATTAATTATAAAAGTGAGAAGCTTGAAACTGTTGGGTATTTTTATGTTTTTTAGTTGGCCTTTTATTATTATATTTCTCATACTTCATTTTACTTAAATTGAAGATTTGCTTCAGTTTAAGTTTATTCTCCTTTTATTTGCCACCTTGTGTTTATTTCATCAATCTCTATTTGCTTTCTGGTCAGATCAACAGAATTAAATTGTCCCTTGACCTCTTCGAGTTCTTAAATTTATGTCAGTTCACCTCCTTGTATCCAACTGGGGACGATTTACAAATCCATTCCCATTGCAATTTGTGTGTAGCAAAGCCATAACCCGAAGCACTGTAAAAGAAACTAAAAGCGGACATGCCCAATACTGCCCCGAGGTTATAGATAAAAACAAGTACAGGAATGACCAAGAAGATGACCACGACAGTGAGATATCCTTCGGGAAATGAAAGTTAAAACAGCAGGTAAAGAATATTTAAAAAATACTGTTTAGATACTCTCATTTTAAAGTTTAAAAAATATTAAATAAATTCATAAAAGATCCTGTAATGATCTAAAAACATAGATACCCTTATTATACACAGTATAAAAGGCTTTCCATGAAGAGCAGCAGACACTCCTCCAACTAATGGGTGGTGTGCGTGTGGTATATGCGAGTGCAGATGTCAAAGGCAGATGCCAAACAAACACCTCAGCTCATGTAACGTCAACACTTGGAGGTTCAAGTAGATGCTTAACCTGCAGCCGGCGGCAATGAAGCTGACAGCCTCTGATTCCTCCGATTCCAAGACAGACTTTGCTCGGTGCCAGAAGCCGGAGTAAATTAAAAACAGACTCAGGCGGCACAGGACCGAGCACGGAAAACAGTGGGAGTTGGTTCAAAGGCTTCCCCTGGCAGAGTTTCTAAGCACTTAATGTCATCAACAGCCAGACATTTTATGAAATGTTTCTTAAAATGCAACTCAGCTGAGGTTCATTTTAAAAAGCAGCTACTTAATTAAGCGGAATGAAATTAGCGAGTTTTCTTAGAAAACTTGAATTTCTCTTGTTTTTATTCACAAGAAACTTAATTGCTTTGCAGTTTTTAGCATACAATATTCCACCAGAAAAGTAAGAATAAATGTACAGGAATAACATGATTAAGGTTCTGCTCTTTAAATTGTGAAAGTTAAAAGTGGCTAAGAGGAAGAACAAAATAAGTTACCCTCCCCAGAGCATCTCCTGAGGTATCATTTCGTTTGACCCCTTCGGAAGTAGCGAGTCCTAAGATTACGTATACGCACAGTTGCACAGAGTTAATGCTCAAGTTGGCCCTTTTAAAATACGGTTCGCTGCTTAATGTGCGGCGCGTGTTGGTTGCAGTGATATAAAGCAGGGATAGAAGGAAGTATCAAACACTTGTACGATAAAAATAATGAACCCGATGTGTGTTGATAATGCCCGTTAGTAGACCAACTCCCCAGGAAAGGGAAAATATACGTAGAAAAAAAGGGACAACGGTCCCCAGTTCCTTGATAAATGATGCTTGAGCGAGTCGTAGGCCTTGCAGGAAATGTGGCTTGTTGTGCAAGTAGATTAGCATTGAATTTGAATGGAAAATAAAAATGTTTTCCACGCTCACCCAAGTCGGTGTCTTCCTTTCTTCCCTGCATGTGTCCAGTTGTTGGCAGCAATAATCAAATGAACTAGATTGTCATAAATCAAAGTTTGTTTGATGGTCGTTATTTGGACTCGGGTCAGAGGCATGCATAGATAAAATTTCGGCAAACAAAAAACGCTTTTGCCCCGCTCCTTGATGGTCGACTATTTGTCAGAGCCTTGGGATTGCTCCCCCAGAATCAGTAAAGAGTATTTAAGCCAGGAACGAGCCGAGCGGCTAAGACCAAACAAATACGGAAAGTATTTGATTACGTTTGCTTTTGCCCTGCTCTGGACATTTAAGTTGTTTGGCCAGAGATGAATGAAAATCCAAATAGGCCGACAAATGGAAAAATAAATGCTGAAACTTTGATTGATTAATTAAGATTCAATTGGGAATTTAACTGCTTGTTTTTATAGGTTGTAAAAAAAAGAAATTTAAAGATGGTTTTATTTTACATTAGCTAATTAAACAAATTGATCATTACATGTGTTTTCCAGTGAATATAAACAAGATTTAACTCTGTACAAAAATAAATGCTTGTTATTTTTATAGCACTGTCAAGAGCTGACGTCTACTTCTCCAAACTCTAAACAAAAAAAAAAAAAAAAAAAAATAATAAAATAATAAATTCAACTATAAACACAAAACAAAACAAATCAGTGGTTGCTGATAAGCATCAAGAAAGTGTTGTTGTTACCATGAACGACGACGAAGACGACAAAAAGGTTTGGAGCTGGCAGAGTGTAAAACCGAAACCCAAGGCAATCAAGAGACCAAATCAAGACTCTCCAATATTGCTAAAGAAAAAAATCGCTCTGGACTTTGCTCCCAGCACCAGCACCAATCAATTCTCTCTCCTAAGCGACAGCACGCCAAATAACGGAAATGAAGACGAAACTGAAACACTGGATATAATAACTGAAGACACCTTAGATGAATCTGCCAAGCCACCACCTATATTCCTATCTGAAGTCAACGATATTAAAGGAATGCTAGCTTATCTCGAGTCTAAAACTAAAAAAGAGCTCTTCTTTTATAAAGTACAACGCGATGGTCATGTGAGAGTAATGGTAAAGACCATTGAAGAATACAGGAAACTTGTTAAAACCCTTACTACAGACCTTGTCAAATTCCACACATACCAGCTTAAACAAGAAAGGGCATTCAGAGTCGTTATTAAGAACTTGCACTTCTCTACGGATATCGATTTAATTAAACAAGATGTACAGTCCAAAGGCCACACTGTAAGAAACATTAGCAATATCAAAAGTCGTGTAACTAAAGAGCCATTGAATCTGTTCTTCTTAGATATTGAGCCCAACAATAAGAACTTAGACATTTACAAAGTTAAATATATTGGTAACGCTGTTGTTAACATAGAACCTCCCCGCAAAACTAAAGAGATCGTTCAGTGCTATCGATGCCAGGAATTTGGACACACAAAGTCATATTGTGCCAAAACTCACAGGTGCGTGAAATGTTCTTCTAACCACCCCAGCAACATTTGTCCAAAAGATAAAGAGCAACCAGCAAAATGTGCCAACTGCAAAGAAGATCATGCTGCTAGCTACAAAGGGTGCAAAGTCTATCAGGAACTTATATCAAAAAAATTTGTAAGCGGACTCAACCACCTGAAAAACACCAAAGATAACAATAATAAAAATGACCTTGGTACATCTCAATCATTTGCTCCGTTTAGTAATTCGACACAACAACCCAAAGACTTCCAATCATACGCTCAAGTTGCTGCAGGAAATAGCGTCTCGAACGCGTCTCTAGAAAAAATAGAACAGCTTCTAGAGAAACAATTCGAGCTAACAAATAATTTACTTAACATGATAATGTTACTTGTAAATAAGTTATGCAAGTAAATCTAAACTTAGGAATATGGAATGCCAACGGGCTTTCCAATCATTTAAATGAAATAACTTTATTTTTAAAAACAAATGCCATCGACGTCATGCTCATTTCAGAAACACACTTCACTAGCAAATCTTATTTTCAAATTACTGGATACGATACAGTAAGAGCTGACCATCCGTCAGATAGAGCTCATGGAGGTGCCGCAATTATTGTCAAGCGCGGCCTTAAATTTAAAATCATGGACAGTACTAGAGAAAATGCCATACAGGCTGCGACAATTGAGATAAAATGTATGCATGCTGACGTATCAGTAACAGCGATTTATCTCCCACCAAGATTCTCAATAAAAGAACCGGATTTTAAAAACTTTTTCGAAAGACTGGGAACAAAGTTCATTGTGGGAGGCGACTTCAATGCCAAACATCCATGGTGGGGATCCAGACTGACAAACCCGAAAGGATCGGAGCTATACAAATGCATACGAAACAATAATATTACCACATTGTCAACTGGAAAGCCTACATACTGGCCAACAGATAATCAAAAAATTCCAGATCTAATGGACTTCGTAATATTCTCTGGAATTCCACAATCACACATGCGTGTAATGGAAAACTTCGACCTTAACTCAGATCATTCTCCAATAATAGCAACATACAGCACAATAGCCCATATGCTGGAAAAGCCCTATAAAGTCATTACAGCCTCTACAGACATTAACGCATTTAAAAGCTATTTGGACTCAGCTGTAAGCCTGGACATTTCGTTAAAAACAGGAGAAGAGATAGACTATGCTGTGGAGCTTTTCACAAATACAATTCATAAAGCGAGCTATAGAAACACGAATCATGCTCCTAATCTTCAACAACCAAATCAATTGTACCTTTCAACCGAACTTCGACAAAAAATACAAAATAAAAGAAATCTGCGAAAACGCTGGCAAGAAACTCACTACCCTGCTGATAAAAGATTATACAACAAGGCTGCATCTGAGCTTAGACAACTGCTGTCGAACTTACGCAATGAATCTCTAGCTGCGTATTTGAGAAACCTTGACCCAAACTCCTGCAACAACGAACACAACCTATGGAGGGCGACCAAATACCTAAAGAGACCAACTAAAAAAAACGTAAACATTCGTAAAGGCAATGGAAGATGGTGCAGGTCTGATAAAGAACAAGCGGAAGCATTTGCCCAACATCTGCATTCCGTGTTTCAGCCAAACGACATCAATAACCCAATAACAGAGACTGAAATCGAAAACTTTCTTGAGTCACCCTGTCAAATGAGCTTGCCTATCAAAAGCATTAAGTATGAAGAAGTTGTGACAGAAATCAAATGCTTGAACAACAAAAAAACACCAGGCCCTGACAAAATAGACGGCATCACCCTAAAAACTTTACCACCAAAATGCATTCGACTTCTCACTCTCATATATAATGCAATTCTCAGACTAGATCACTTTCCAAGTCAATGGAAATGCGCAGAGATCATTATGATCCTAAAGCCACTCAAAACAGAAACAGAACTGACCTCATACCGTCCCATTAGTCTGTTGACAATATTCTCGAAAGTATTTGAAAAAATACTATTGAAGAGAATGTTGCCAATTTTGGACGAGCTTTCCATCATTCCTGAATATCAATTTGGATTCAGGAGAGGTCACGGGACACCTGAGCAATGTCACAGGGTCATTAATGATATAGTCTCTGCATTTGAAAACAAAAAATACTGCACTGCTGCGTTTCTTGATGTACAACAAGCGTTCGATCGAGTCTGGCACAATGGTTTATTGTACAAGATAAAGAAATGGCTACCTGCCCCATACTATCTATTAATCAAGTCATATCTGACTAAAAGATGCTTTTACGTGCAGCAGAAAAGCGACTCATCAACGCTAAACTGCATTAACGCAGGCGTCCCACAAGGAAGCGTACTGGGGCCAATTCTGTACACCCTATACACGGCTGACATGCCAGGTACAAACACATGCACTGTAGCAACATATGCTGATGATACAGCCGTTTTGGCTACAAGCACATCCAAAAATGAAGCGTCTGAACTCCTGCAGCGTGAGCTAAGCTTAATTGAAGACTGGTTTCTTCGATGGAAAATTAAAATCAACTCCCTAAAATCCGTCCAAATCACTTTTTCATTAAGACCAGGCAGCTGCCCTAATGTTGCACTTAACGGCTCACCAATTCCACAAACTACATGTGTGAAGTACCTCGGGATGCATCTCGACCGCAGATTAACATGGAAAAATCACATCAAAGCAAAGTGTCAGCAGCTCAGACTTAAAACACTAAAAATGTCCTGGTTGTTAAGTCGCAAATCAGAAACCTCTCTGGAAAACAAAATCCGCCTCTACAAAGCCATACTAAAGCCTGTTTGGACCTACGCTTTACAGCTCTGGGGAACTGCTAGCAAATCAAATATTGAAATTCTTCAGCGTTACCAATCCAAAACTTTGAGACAAATTGTCAATGCTCCCTTCTACGTAACTAATGCAAACATCCACAAAGACCTCAACATCCCAACCATAAAAGAAGAAATAAATAAAATCAGTAAAAAATACATCGACAGACTCCATAACCATGAAAACAATTTAGCCTTAAATCTAGTGGACAATAGTTTAACAGTAAGAAGACTAAAAAGATACCACATTCTCGATCTCCCCGACAGATAAATTAAACTACTGTAAATATGTAAAATATATAATAGCAGAGCTCACTGGAGAACTGCTATTTCTGTTAGCTTAACACTCCTCATAAAATTTACCTATTGTTAATTAGACAGATTGTAAATAAATAATAAAGAAAAAAAAAAAAAAAAAAAAAAAAATTTTTATAGCTACATAACCCACATTTGAAAACCTGTTCCAAAAGTGAGTTGCAAAACGGTTTTACAGGAAAATCAAGCAAGTTAGAGCACAGTTTTAATTGAGCAATTTCCTTGTCACATGGAGAGGGAAAAATTCCCAGGAACCGAGTCTCAAAACAACCAAATTGTGTCTAAACACTTTACATTGCAATTAGTAAGAATGAATGGGGTTGCCTGGGAACACAAGGACATGCAGGATATTTGACCTTAGGCCAGTCGGTTTCTTGTGACACATTTCCATTCTTTTATTGAATGTACACCCAATCGAGTCACAAGTGAAAATTTCCGATTTAACAGGTGAATTGCAACAGATGTTTTTAATTCAAAAGGGGCTTCCTTTTGCAACGTCAGGTGGCATCAATTGACCTGCCATTTCCAAAGGTTGCGCTCCCATTAAACAAGCTGATTAACAAGTCTTGCGGGCAAATTAAATGAAACAAGCAGATAACGCACATAAACTTTTAATTGAACGAAAAGGTGGAAGGCGTGGGGCAGCGAGTCAATGACTTTTGTACCTCTTTTTATTTTGTTTTTAACCCGCTGGCCATTCATAATTACCGACAAGTTGCCGCCGCAATGGAGAAAGGGAGCTGTGGCTATGGCGGTATCAAAAAAAGAGAGTAAGTCGGTGGTCAAATATACTATTTTGTGAACTAAATGATACTCTTTAAAATTATTATAATTTATATTTATTTAAAGTCTTGGAGCTTCTTAGTCACATCCTTTGTAGTTGCCTACCATCTTAAGTGCTGTGTAATCCTGGAAGTTCTTTACTCTTTAAGTTAGTGTCTTCTTAAGTTGGATCTTATATACCCCTTCCTTTAATAGGTATTATATAAAGCCCCCCAGGTAACCCGAACAAGCATACAACAAAGGCGAAGTTGGTGTTCGGGCGCCTTTTCATGTTGTCTGTGCTGGGGGTGCACTGAACTGGTGTATAGAAAATACGAGAAAAGTTGCGAAACAGAAGGAAAAATATATAACCGTCGAATGGGGGTGGTTGGGGGGTGTGGCGGAAAATTGTTAAAATGATTTCCTGCATTGCACGCTACGAAAAAACTTTAAATGCAACATGAAGCAGTAGCAGCAGCGGCAGCAACACGCAGTTCGTTAGGAAAAGTCCAGGCACCGGGCCTTGGCCAGGAGTTGGCCAAGAAAAACTGCTAGAGCCAGGCAACAACTTGCAGCTGATTATGCACAACCAGTCTAATTAAAAATAGTTAATGCCGGGATGTAGCTGCTGCTTGGTAGCTGCAAAAATTTCTGGCAATTATTAAAGAACACTCTTTTGGGTGGCGAACATCCCCGAAAATGAATATTTATGAACACTCCTCGCACTTTATTAGGACAAAGAAAAATCAAGAAAATACAGAAAATCTCCTGGAACAAATTGAATAAATTTAAGACTTAAGGAGCCCATTTCCTTGAAAGATTTAATCAAACGTGGAAACAGCAATCATATTCTGGTTTTTACGATGCCACACGCATATCTATTATTTAATCAAAAACCCAAAAGATGTATTGCATGACTATAAATAAACATAAAATCAGCAAAGTAATTGCACAAAGCAATAAAATTCATCAAAAATGCGCCAGCAAACCGAAAAATTTACGCTTAATTTAACAGCGCAGACGTTGCCCAAGGGCAACATTCCACATTACACACATATATATTATATGTATAAATCGAACAATAGCTAAAGTAATGCTAATCAATTATGAATCAATGTTCAAGAGCAAAGAAAAAATCAAAGCGCGTACGGCAAAGGCACACAAAATCCCTCGCAGGGCGCAAAAAAACGCAGACGAAATTGTACAATTGTGCGGAAAAAAGGCGATGGGGCTGGGAAAATCGCTGTCGGTGGGTGGAAATCTTTGGCATTGCTACCAAATTGTGGGGTCCGGCCAGGCACACTCCTACATACGTACATATGTCGTCATTACGCCGGCATTGTGTTTGTTTTAATCAGCGGTGACGGCAACGCCCGGAGTCAGCGGCAAATGTTTGCGGCCTAGCTGGGGCAAAAAAATAAAGGGGGGAAAAACAGAACGGGAAAAAGTCGAAATAAAAAAAGACCGCAGACCGCCAAGCAAATCAAATCAAAAGCCAGACCAAGAAGAAAGCCTTGTGTGTACTCGTATCTGGAGAGAGTTACAAGTTACCCTATTGGGGTTTAAGGGAATGTGGAGTTGTTCGGGGTCCTTGACTCTAGATTGGAAAATTATATTTCTTCTGAAGATTATTAAGAATGCTGGACTTAAATTATATATATTGTAAGGAATTTGTACATCATTTAAGCTTCTTATATTGTGGCTTGTTTTGTACAGGGGTTGCAAGTTGATAAGGGCAACAATCATATAAGCTCTAATTCAATTTGAATTTACTTAATATTTTGTATTTTTATTGCAGATTTATGCCAAACTTTGGTTTTTTGATCTTCGGCTACCATAAATAAAACACCTAAAAATATATATTTTTATAGGTATAATAAATATTTGATAATTTTTAATAAATCACATTTTTTAAAATATCTTAAATAAGCCAAAAATGCATGAATTTCAATTCATATTCTGCATATTAAGTTTTGAAATTTAGAAAAATAATTTTTTTTGCCAAATTATGACATTTTTAACGATGTAATCCCTCATATTTTTTAAAAAATTTTTATAAACTTAAATTTTTGCTGGATAAAGCCAGATTGATTCGCCTGTTCATGCTGATCAATAATATACATGGAAATTACTCTTTCACTATACCCTGAAAGGGTATAAAAACTTTGCAAGTGTTACAAAAGTCAAAAAAGTTTTTCGGATACATCCAAAAATTTTCAAAATGCATTTCTTTGGATTCTGTTTCCCATATTAGGGTATTCAAATATACGAGAAGAGCTCTTCGCTTGCGGAATACACTTGTTTTTACAGTTGTATCGTGCACATAGCACATTCCTATGCTTTTCATTTCAATTGAAGTCGAGTGTTGGACTTTTCTTTTTCTTTTTTGCTTTCTTTTTTTTACATGATGTGCCGGCTTTTCTTATTGCCTGCCGCCCG